GTTGCCAGAACTTTACTGTTAATAATACAGAAGAAACCGTAAAATAATTTTCAAAATGTTATGGTAAGCTACCGTATTTCATTACGAAATATAAAAACACAACATTGTTTAGAATTACTAACCATTACATGCCATACCTTTGTAACACAGACAAAAACACAGCCATATGCGTGGATGAGAGGGTCATATGCTGAACCGAAGTTCATCACAAACAACTTATAAATAAGCAGAGAAACATACTAATATACAGCAAATAATCAGTGTCATTCACACCTTATGTGCTGCACAATGTTGGAAAAAACTAAAATTGCAATATTTAATTTTTATGCGATATATGTATACAATATTTAGCTATGCAAATTGAATAATCCAATGTGAAAAAAATGCTTTATAGTCCTTATATATATTATTTATCTTTCGGATTGCTTTTATATTTATCTATCTATCTATCTATCTATCTATCTATCTATCTATCTATCTATCTATCTATCTATCTATCTATCTGTCTGTCTGTCTGTCTGTCTGTCTGTCTGTCTGTCTGTCTGTCTGTCTGTCTGTCTGTCTGTCTGTCTGTCTGTCTGTCTGTCTGTCTGTCTGTCTGTCTGTCTGTCTGTCTGTCTGTCTGTCTGTCTGTCATCTATCTATCATCTATCTATCATCTATATATATATATATATGTTTCTTAAAGTTTGAAACTTTATTTCTTATACCAAAATAAAAACACACATAAATAATGAATGTTTTGGTAACTTTATGGTTAAACGCTGCAATAACTCTACAAATCATGTTTTCAAAGCTGGCTTATGGTCACTTATAAGAACAGTTTGACGTTGCATGTGATATGACTATTCCAGATGCACACATTGCAATACTGATGTTAAAATGATATATATTGTGCAGCCCCAATTCACACAACTACTAAACACCGTCATTAATGCAATAAACATTATTTATCAACATCAGATGTAACATAAAACTCTAATGTACATAACTCATAAGAAAAAATTATAATAAAAAAATAATAATAAATAAATAAAATGAACCATGGTAATGCCAAGAAAAGGCAAAACAGAATTCTGGCAAAGTCAGTTCATAGTAGTAGTATTTTAACATACATTACAGTTATTTTTACAGTGCTATCATTATGGCAAAGACAAAAAATGGTTCTTAGAAATGAGTTATTATAACTATTATGTTTAAAAAATGTGTTGAAAAAAAATCTTCTCTATTGCAACAGCACTTGAGAAATATTGGAAAAAGAATGACTATTTTACAGGGGGTAATCATTTTGACTTAAACTTTATGTGCTGTAATTCCCAGTGATGGCTGAAATGTACAAAGAAATCTGGTGTAATGAGCGCAGATCTATGAATTGCCACACATTTGCTGTACAATAGCAAAAGTGCAGTAATTACACATTTGGTCTAAATTGAGTTAAGGCCTAAAATTGGCTTTGTGATGTCTGTTCTGTCTTGAGTTCACTTTGGTTCTGTTTCTGAGGAATAAAATCCACTAATCTACACACAGCATGTTTGACTGCTTGGTGTAAAAAATATAAAGGTACAGTATTTGTCTTCAAAGGGAGTTTTTGTGTAGTTACTGCACTTTGCTCTTGTAGGACAGAGACTCTTAGACACTCCTAAAGGGATAGTTTACCCAAAAATTGTCATCATTTACCATTTTTGGGTCTACTTTAATATCTACTTTAGTGTTCAACAGAAGCTTATAAAGGTTTAGAAACCCTGGGTTATCTCTTTACTACTACTACTAACTATTACTACTACTACTACTACTACTACTACTACTACTACTACTAATAATAATAATAACGATGATAATAATAATAATAATAATAAAAATAAGAAATTATAACAATTATACATTATATAAATAATAAAAAAACTCAACTGACGTGAGAAAAGATTTATAACATTTTTTTTGCACTTTTATCTTGAATTTATGGTACTTTTTTGTTTTTTGATTTTGGTGGTGTTTTGGTCACATGTCCTTACTACACAATGCCTGGCTTGATTGGAGGGTTTGTTTCAGAACCTGTTGCATTTGCTACCTTATTTGGGTTTGCTAATGCATACGTGAACACGACAATCATGCTCTGATCGGCACTGAAACAATAGCCGCCTAAAGATTTCCTGAACGAGGTGGTCTCTGCCCACTTGAATACAAACTCTGGAGTGGTTGGCTTATGGTGTAAAAGCAATACGACTTGATGGACCCACATTATCACAGTGCACGATGAGCTGTTACATACATTGCCTCTAAAGCAGCAGGGTTTGTTTTGCTAATGCCTCTCAGAATGAATTGTGAGTTAACCTGGAGTAAAGATAAATGCCTTGTTGAAATTTGTTCAGACAAACATATTCCTGACAACTGAATACAAATGCAGAATAGTATTTGTTTGTGGCTTAAAATGTTTAAAGGGATAGTTCAGCCAAAACTGAAAATTCTGTCATTATCACCTCTGTCTTGACAGTTTTTATCTTCTGTTGAACACAGAAGATAATATTTTGAAAGCTGAGAACCTGTCATTGACTTCAATAGTATTTGGTTTTTCTACTCTGGAAGTCTGGTACAGGTTACTGCAGCATTATTCAAAATATATTTTGCTTATAGTCTATTTGCTAGTCAATAAGAACCTTTTGTGCTTTCTTTATGGCCAGGACTCCCTGGGAGAAGATGTCTTGTATCTTAATGGGATGAAAGAAAGAAAGAAAGAAAGAAAGAAAGAAAGAAAGAAAGAAAGAAAGAAAGAAAGAGTTCTTCAGAGATTTTGTCCTTCTCTGACCAATGCACAACTATTTTAGTAAAGGCAACTAAAATTAATACTAAAATTATTAAGAAACACTTTTGTTAACTAAAATGAAAAAACAAAAAATAAACAAAAAAAGAGAAAAACTAAATAAAACAAACAATAGTCTGAAAAACTAACTTAAATAAGTGTCATAGCAAATCTGACCTGCAAATGTTTAGAGAAATACCTGTAATTGTGCTTTGATTGGTCAAAAACATTCCTTCTATATAAATATAAAGAACATTCCATCTTTTCTCCATCTCTGCCAAAATATATAATCTAGGCATGATGAACTGCATTTGTGATTTTTAATATGAAGAATTTTGTCTGAATTCTTCATCATTTTTCTATCAGTGCCTGTTAAAAAAAGTATGTTTATTTTATCACTAAGAGGTTTTCCCAAAAGTTAATGTAAGCTGTGCAATCAATAAACTTTGCTCTAGTTGACACTGTTAGACCAGAAGTACTAAAATTAAACTCAAGCTACAGTAAGAAACTCTTAAGTTTTTGTCAACTAAAGCCTATTTTTAACATGTTGGCTGTTTATTCAACACCAGGCTTGTTATTGATACGTACCCCTATATACATTTCTGGACAGCGCGAAATACGTCCAGTTCACCAGACGCTGCTGTGTAGTTTTTTTCAAATCTCAAATTTGTCTCGTAGCTGCCATTTACTCCTTTTGTTGTTGTGTAAATCCACCAGAGGCCCCTGTCGACTGACTGACTGACTGACTGACTGACTGACTGACTGACTGACAGACTGACCGACTGACCGATCCTCCCCCCACTACCGCCTTCCCTAAAGCCAATCGATAGTATTTTCAAAAGCAATAAAGAAAAAGAAAAGCCCTCACAGCCGCCTGATTGTTACCACGCTTTCAGAGCTTAACATGTTCTCACCATTATTTACTTATTTATTTTATTTTTTGCCTTTTGTTTTAACTACTTTCTGGAACTGTTCTTTGCTGGACTCGAACCCCATTGTTGCTGTTAACTGCATTTCAAGTCTGCCAACATACATTGTGAGCTACTGGTCAAACTGGTAACAGCAGAAAAGCGCAAAAAAAAAAAAAAAAAAAAAAAAAAACAAGCCCAGAGGCCGTTAGCAGTGTCATACTGCCTCGTATTGTTTGTTTTAAAAACAAAATCCAGCCATACTTAGCTTTGGCTACATAATTTGCACTCTATAGAAATGTATACGGGGGTATGTATCCACAATGAGCCTGTGTTCTGTTTAGTAGTACTTATGAAGTACATATTCTGCATAATCTTATTCTACATTCCTATGTCTACCTAATACCTAAACTAAGCTACTACCTTAATAACTAATAAGCAGTACATTAAGAATTGATTAAGGCAAAGTTATGTTCATAAAGTCGTAGTTATGAATATGGAGAATCGTACCTTAAAACTAAAACATAAAATAGAAAGGTATTCACAAAATAAAAACTAAGGTAAAACTAATGAAACCATTAATGAAACAAAACCGAAATGTACAGCACATTTAAAAATAGTATTGAAACAAAAACCAAAGTAAACATCTAAAACTATGAATAACAATACCCAATTTTGAGGTTGATCTGATAAAATACCTAGGAAGAGCTCGTTGAAATACAACACCTGAAAGTTTTAAAAAATGCTCTTAGTGTAGTGATAGTTAAAAATATACGACTTTCTGTTCGGTTTCATATTTTGCTCCAAGAGACATAATTGTAGATATTGGCATGTTTGATGTGTGTGTCAATATTATGTGTGCATGAAATGTAGCTAGGTGACCAGTCTGTCAAGTGTGCATAGTCACACTGACACTGTCGAATAATTTTTCCACACCCACTTCTGAAACCCATATCAAACGTAAATTTTTGCCACTTCTGACGTGTGCAAAGTGTTGTTTGTTTTCGAGCATGTTTAGACCCTCAAAAATGCGATTCATTCTAGAGAAGAAGATGAAGAGGCGGAGCAATTTCAGTTGGTGCTCGGTTCTTAATAACCTTGCAGCAGTGAGATGATGGTTTACTCACACGTGATTAGTTAGGAAATGTTATTAAAGCAAACTTTGTAACAGTTTAATCTCTGGTTCAGAGCAAATCAATCAAGCTACATGTGTGAACATGCCCTACATTTGTAAGTCTGTAATTGGCAAGGATTCTTGAGCTAAATTAACATTATCTTTTTCTTTTCACTTTCAGGCATTCAAAGAAGGATTTCTAACAGTGACGGCTTGCCGGTGGAATGCAGGTGCACTTCTTCTGAAATAAGCTGAGGATTTCTGGGTGGAAGAGAAATCATGTTTTTGACCTACTATCTACAAAACGCAAAATACAACCGCAGCAGTAATCCTACTTTCACCAGAGGGTGAGATGCATAAATCGGTCTTTTAACATGTTGAGTCAACTAGATTTTTAGGGCAGTTTTAGATTTCAAAGCGCTAAGTACCGTGTTAGGTCTTTTTTTTTCGGTACATGGGCTTTCTGAAGTGTCCCTCAATGGAGTTACTCTGAGGGATCATCAAGATGGAGAATCGAGTAAAGAGGAACTCCTAAATACTAAAAGGGTTTTCAGAAAACTGGGACCTTACTATTTCTGCAGATCTGTTTTCAAAAAAATAAAAAAGGCTGGGTAAATTAATACGCCAGACTTGGGAATAAATCTCTCCTCTGCAGTGGATTAAGGGAAACGGAACATTAGAAAGGAAGGATTAGGAGCTTGCTTAGAAGATGATGACGCGAAAGTGGAGGTGCGTGAAGTTGTCACCGGCCTTCGTTTGGCTGGGGCTCGTGGTCCTTTCTGTCACCACGGCCCTAGAGTTTGATGGTTTACCAGGCCAATGGGTTCGCTATGGACCCTGGGAAGCAGGAGCTACCGGTGAACTGAGCTTTACCATGAAGACGAACATCAGCAAAGCTATTGTGCTGTACCTGGATGATGGTGGAAACTGCGACTTTCTGGAGCTCCTGATCAACGATGGCCGTCTTCAGTTGCGCTTCGCCATCCACTGTGGGGAACCGGCTTCATTGCACATGGAGACGCACATCAGCGACGAACGCTGGCACCGAGTTCTGCTGACCAGGAATTATAGAGAAACCATGCTGGTGATGGATGGAGAAAGCAAAGTGGCGGAGGTCAAGTCTAAGAGAAGGGAGATGATGGTGGCTAGTGACTTGTATGTTGGCGGGATCCCACCGGATGTGCGTCTCTCAGCTCTCACGTCCAGTACAGTCAAATATGAACCACCTTTCCGAGGTTTGATCGCCAACTTGAAGTTAGGAGAGACTGCTCCTGCTCTCCTGGACAGCCAGGGTGTGAAGAACGATCTGGATTATCTGTGCACCAAACAAAACCCATGCAGCAATGGAGGACGCTGCTCCATTCAGGGCAGCGAGGTGCTGTGTGATTGCTCCAATACCGGCTACAAAGGGAAATACTGCACTGAAGGTAAGCACGATGGTGTGCCTCAAGGCCTTACATACATAATATGATGTCCTTATCAAAATCCTTACTAATTATTGCACTTGGGTGTCAATGTAAGATGTTTGCTTTTTAAAAAATACAAGAGTTAATGATTAGGCATTTTCTGATCTGAACAAATCCTTTGGTTGAATGCTTGTCTTATCGTCGTCTCCTGCACTTTTTCTGCAAACTTATATTTGCAATATCTGAGAGCAGAGCTGTCTGACTGCTGGAGATTGCTAAAACTTTTAGGAAAGCTGAGTGATAACAGTTGTGTTTGAAGAAATGGCTCGCTCAATAAGTGGTAGCCAGATAGGTTTGGATTGACACACAGGTGATTTATTTATTTTTATTTTTTTGTGGAACATAAAAGGAGACTTTTTGAATAGGATTTTGGTGGCGATTTTTTTTTTATGCAGTAACAATGACTAAGGTTTTGAAGATTTTTATCATTCAAGAAGGATGCAATCATGAGGAGATGCATAAAAATAGATTTTAATACAGGAATAGGATTTTGGAGAAGGTAAAAGATGCTGAAAACTATAATTGCTCAGGTATTTTAAGTTTGAAAAATATGGAGTGCATTTAATTATTTACGTAATGTGTTTTTTTTAAACGATAACATATCTATGATGTAATATTAGATTGGAATAAATTAATAAATAATTATTGAAATTAAAAAATAAATAACTCTTTGTTAATAGATTAGGAATTTTGATCCACACAGTTGTTGTTTTATTTTACATTTGTTTCTGGTAAAAGATACAAAAGACACAAATGTTTTAGTTCAAAGCCTTCCTCGGCGTGTAGCAAACTGCTTTTTAAACGCACTGATTGTTTTATCAATAATGCGATATTGATATTATTTTTATATTGTGTGTTGTATGTTGTGTATATTTTTTAAGTAATGCATCTAAACTAAAACAAAATAGGCTCTCATGAGTGTGGGTCACAATTTGTTATATTAAGCTTTCTTAATGCACCAAATCAAAGGAAAAAAGTTGCAGAAGAGTGTGGTGCCAAAATGCTTTGTTGAACATCTCAATGTTTTTCAATATAGTGTCAATATATCTCATATCTCATTTTTAGAAAGAAAATATTGTTTTTTATAAAAAGGGGCATATAAATATTGCAATTTGAAATGTGTATTTATTTATTTATTTATTTTTTAACGGGAAAGTAAATGATTATGCAAGCAAACTATGTTGTGTAAAACATTACACATCATTTTTTGTTTAAAAAAAAAAAATGGGTTTCTCAGATGTGTTTCCACATTTGATATATAGCATTATTCCATATATATATAGCAATAAAAAGATTCATATTCTTCAGTAATAACATTGTAATATTCTAAACTTTAAATATGCTCTAAAGAGATGCTGGACTGATGCAACCCAACATTGGGTCCAAGATAATTTTTTTTTGTGTACACTCACAATAACAACCAAAGTGTGTGCTTTTAAAAATGCGTCCACGCTCACGAGGCTTTGTTGGTACAATCATCCACGTGAGATGTGAGTGACGTAAACTGTAGCCAGAAAGAACAGCGGAATCTCCATAAATACATGAGAGACATGCCTGTATAAAGCTTGGGAGGTGCACTTTCCAACTCATTTTGAAAAACAAATGTTGTCTCGCTAGGTAATCTATAGAATACTTCGGCAGAGCGTGCATCACGCCGGCTCCTCCCATGTCCACTATTAACACAAATGATGACTATAGCTGCTTAAAGTTGTGCATGTCCACTGCCTTGAAAGGTCATTTCATTTTCATTCTCATGAATGTGTTTGAATTATAACCCATTTAACCTCACTGGACCACCGTGATCTGATGCTGCTCTATTCAGAACATGACGCATGTTATTTGTGTTATATATTTATTTATTTATTTATTTATTTATTTATTTATTTATTTATTTATTTATTTATTTTTTTTTATTTTTTTTTTTTTTACCGTAACTGATCCAGTCAAAGTTTGAAAAGAGTGAACAAAGGCTATGATTATTTAGGCAATATATATATATATACACTACTTCAGTGTCTCAAAGTCATTTAGAACTGATTATTAAATGCTGGATTAATGCACAAGAAAGTTTAGCAAACACGTTTTATACCATTTCAAATATATACATTTTTTTACATGCTGTATAAGTGCACATACATTGTTTATCCAGAGTGTTTACATGGTAATAATACAGCAAGTAACACAACAAGCGTTTAGTTTGGGCTAGCTTTTGCACCCGGGCATTGCTTTAGATGCTTGGATGGGTGAACATTAGCCAGTGGGGAATGTCTTTTGTCTCTCCTCAAGTGTGAAATATTCATGACTGTTGTCACTCCCACGCATAGAGTATGCTGACCCAACATAGACTTAACATCACCCCAGCTTTCTTCAGAGTGTGTGTTTAATTGCATTATGATATAAGTTTTATTTTTTTAATTATTAAGTTCCATAATATAATACATTTCTTTTTAGATCCAAAAAACGTGTAAAATGAAAGAGTTTTCAAATGCATTATGGGTGTTAAAAGTGGCTTAACGAGGGTTAAAAGTCATCCGTATGAAGTGCGAATTATATTTCAGCGCTTTTGAAGCCTACATGTGTTTTGTGTTAAGAACAGACCTAAATTAAGACCACATTCAGAGATAATCTTCCTCTCCAGTGAACTGCTCTCCGCTGTGACCTGATCAGTGAGCCAGTGATTTAAGTTCAGGGCAGATGTCAAAATATACACAGATCTTCATTTTGCTCTGTTCTTCTGACAAAGCTTTTGTATTGAGAAGCACAGAAATATAGTACCATTTCTGTGATGTTCTGTTGGTGCTTTTTTTCTGTCACTGTGGTGCTTGACAGCTCCAGCCCAGTCCACTTTCATTATATAAAGTGGCCAGGGTTTTCTTTCAAAAAGCACATTTTGTATTTGAGAGAAGAGATAGTAATACAGGATCGTAATGACATGAGGGCAAGTGTAAAATGCTTATTTTTAGACAAACCTTTTCTTTAAAGTCCATATGGGATGGAAACAGCAACAGATATTGTGTGGCTGGCTAATATCTCAATGTGATAGAAATGAAATGTTACACTGGATTTTGGGATGTGAGCATAGCAATAAAAAATAGAGGCAGCTAAGCATGAGCTTGCTTGATGGAGTTTAATGTGGAGTATAATCTTTTATTTATCATGCATTGTGTTATTGATTTTAGAATGACATTTTTTAATACCATTAGATAGGTCTGTTATACATATTGATGTATCGTTTTATTGTAAATAATGTGTCTTGCGTTTTAAATTAATCTTTTTTTTATTAATCCATACTAATCTCCCTTTTTTCATTTAAATAACTTAAGTGAAATAAAAAATAAAGTGTGAGGCATGCCCAAACATAAGTTGGTCATGTTTTAGATAAATGTAAGCAGTTGGGAGAAATTCAGCTTTGTAACTAACATTATATTAGATTAATGCATTAGTTTTGAATATAATAACCTTGCTGCTCAAAAACAAAAGGAAATAGGAAATATTCAATTCACAGTATTCAGATAATACATTTCTTGATTATTTCCTATTAGAATGCTTCAGTTAAGTAGTTAGAATGATTCTTTTTCTTAGCTTTTACTTGTATTTATTGTTCTGAATCCTTTACTTTAATACATTCAGAATATAATTTATACACATTACATTTCATAAATATATATAAACACAGGCTAAATGAAGTCGACTCGCTCCCTCTGTCAAAACCTTTCCTCATTTACTGGATGAAGTGGAACACACTTTAAAATGGTGGCAGGGATTCCCCCAAGGGAACAAGAGAAGGGAAAGTTTGCAAGTGTGTGTCTAAAAGTGGAGCGGAACGGAACCATTTGTTCAGATTTGTTCAGAGCATGTTTTCAGTTAATGACTAACTGATTCAAATGATTTGTTCAGAGCATGTTTTTGCTTACTGACTCACTAATTCAAATGATTTCTTCAAAGCATGTTTTTGTTTACTGACTCACTGTTTCAAATGATTTGTTCACAGCATGTTTTCAGTTAATGACTCACTGATTCAAATAATTTGTTCAGAGCATGTTTTTAGTTAATGACTCACTGACTCAAATGATTTGTTCAGAGCATGTATTTGCTTACTGACTCACTGATTCAAATGATTAGTTCAGAGCATGTATTTGCTTACTGACTCACTGATTCAAATGATTTGTTCAGAGCATGTTTTCGTGCTTGTAGGGGCGTGACGTGGAGCCGATCCGCGAATCGCAGCACATTATGATGATAACCAATCAGAGTCACTTGAGGGCAGGCCTTTCATAGGAACTAGGAAATATATCAGTCGTTTTCATGTTAGCTGAGTAACTGTATATAATCAAAGTGAGATTTAAATTATAATGAAAAAATAACATGATTTCATTTAAGTGAAACATGAGCACACATTTCTTTGCCTCTTAATAACACAACCAAGCATTAAAATTACATTCTGGACCACCCCTTTAAAAGTGCCAAAATGTGGATGCTGCGCACTGGTGGTGGATGAGGAGATTCCTCTAATGTGTAAAGTGCTTTGAGTGTCCAGAAAAAGCGCTTTATAAATGTAAGGAAATATTATTATTAGTATTATTATTATTATTATATAGTAACTTTAATTAGTAAATAACTACTACCACTACTACTACTATATATATATATATATATATATATATATATATATATATATATATATATATATATATATATATATATATATTTTTTTTTTTTTTTTAATATACAACATAAACATATTGATTCAAACTACAAAAATATTTATAAAAGTTACTTTGTTAGCCTGCAGAGGTTAACAAATATATCTGTTTTTATTTTTTTACAGTACAGGAAAACATTAGGATATTTTGTCCATGTCAACATTATAAAATAAAATAAAAACCTTTAACATATGCGTTTTACACATACATGTGAAAATTGTGGCTTTTAATTTTAAGCCGACTTCAATGAAACCCCCT